CCTGCCCCCCGACACCCCCGGGAAGCCCTGCGCCGGGGCTCGCGGCCGGAGGAGGCACGGCTGGGCGCTCTCGAGAGGGGCCGGGTGGGGACGCGGCATTCCTGGAGTCCGTTCGGCGGGGCCAGGAGGTGGCCAGGGGTGCGGCGGGGAGCCCGGACGACTCGCAGACCTGGGGAGGCGGCAACCTGGAGCCCCAGCGAGGCGGGGTCCCGGGGAACCCGCAGACCGAGAGCCCCGCGCAAAAGTCGGGGCAAGCGAGTGCGAGGCGGGGAGCGAGGCTGTGGGAGGGAGATGCCGCGCGAGGGGAGGAGGGGGCCGGGGAGAGGAAGAGGGAGGGAGGCAGCGGGGGAGCCCGAGGCCGGGCCGGCGGGAGGCGCGGGGAGGCCGACACCTCGGGCCGCGTCGCTCCCTCCCCGGCCCGCAGGGAGGGGAAGGCGGGCGGGAGGGAAGAAGGGCGGGCGAGCGGAGAGGAGCGTGGGGGGCAGAGTCGAGCCTGGCTGGGCCGGGCCAGACGGGCCGGGCGGCGGGACTCGCGGCTTCCTCGCTGCGCGCAGCGCGGCCGGAGCCCTCCATGCTGCCCACGGCCGCGGAGCCGGCGGCAGGTAGGGCGGGCGCGCGGGCGGCGGCAGCTAGCCCCCGGCCCGCCGTGGCCTGGGAGTGATTACTGCAGGGGGCGGGGGGACGCGGGCGCAGCCCGGCCGGACCGGCAGGAAAAAGTCCGTCACCCGCGGGAGTGGCGGGAGCCCTGCGGCCCGCGGGACGGTGGGCGGGCAGGGCAGGGAGTTGACGCGCGGGAAAGGGCAGCGGCCGAGCTCGGGAGCCCGGCGCCCCGGACCCCGCCCCCGCCGCCGGGAAGGGAGCGACCCGGCGGGAGCGGGCGGGGGGCGGGGCCGGGGGCGCCGGGGCCACACAGGGGGAAGGCGCTGCCGCCGGGAGGGGTCCGGGAGCGAGAGGTCACCGCCGAGGAGGGAGGGCCATCGAGCTGCTGCTGCAGCCGCACGGTTCCCGGGCCGAGCCCTTCGAAAGCAACCTCAGGTCCCCGGGGCCTCGCCAGAGTCCCCCACCGTTGCTCTCCCCACTTTACTTTTCCAGCGCCACACTGGGCTCCAGGAGCCCTCCCTACAGACCCTCAATCTCAGAGGACCCCACTTTCCTCCAGGGCCCAGCCTGGCCCTCCGCCGTGGGGTGGAGGGGGCTTCCAGGAGAGGCGGGGGAAACTGGCGGTGCCGGCACGGCGGAGCAGTCTGAGCCTTGGAGAGAGGCTGGGGTGGGAGTGCGGACACATTCTCTGTCAGACACGGTTTCTCTGACCCTGACAGACCTGTGCCCTGCTCCTGAGCACACACCGGCCCTCACATGGACACAGGTACCTATGCCCCTAACAGCCCAGATGCGCTCCCCCAACTAGCTCAGACACACTCGCTGCCTGGAGTTACACGCAACCAGGGAAGGAAACAGATAGAGATGGTAGCAACTGTCACCCAGCAGCCCCAGAAGTGACACTCCTGACTAGTGTAATGGCTCCCTCTTCCCTCCACGCACAGACCCACACTCCTGTCCCGTTCACACTTCTGCACACCACCCCCTACACACCAACTACTTTGCTCAGGGACACTTCACATTCCTCCCCACAATCCCACCTGCCTATTCACACCCTGCTCCTGCCCACTCTCTCCCAGCCCCTCCCGCACCCTCTTGATAACAACACCCTTTCCAGCTCACCCACAGCTTGCCCTGGACTGTTTCCTTCACTTCTTCCCCCTGCCTCTGGCTTCCAGCTGGCTGCACAGCAGCCCCCTGGCTTCTCCCTGCGCTCCCTGAGCACACCCAGGGCCCTCTTGTGGCACAATCAGGAACCCTTCACTCCGGCTGAAGCCCAACTCCTGTCTTGGTTACTGACTTCACAAGCAGGGGCTGGCCCACCCTCTGCGTCTTTCCCTGGGCCTCAGTTTCTTCTGTCTTTTAGGAGGGAAGAGAAGGGCAGGGAGGGGAATGCTGGAGAGGACAGCAGAGACGGAGCCCCACAAGTTTCAGCGAGGAGGGACTTTAGCATGCACAGTGCAACCTCCTCATTGTAAGCCTATGGTCACCAGAGGGGGTGGTGGCAAAACTAGTTCTCCTGACTTCCAGGCCCATGTGTCCCCACTCACCAAACCCCTTCTCAGCAGTCTGGGGGAAAGGGAATGAAGGAGGGCAGACGGGAGAGAAGAAGAGAGGGGAGGGCAGCCAGCCTGGAGGACGGAGGAAAGATGGGTTTCTGTGGCCTGTCCCTGGGAATCCAGGTCAGGAGGCACCCCCTAGGGCAGTTTCCTACAGTCACAATGCCTGAGTCTCACACCACAGTGTACACATCACCCCCTAACCCACTCTCCCCCCCAAGTCCTCTCAACAGATCCCTCCAAGGTCACCCAGATGTTGGTCCTAGTCCAACATCTGAGAGCAGGGCCCTTCCTTCTGGCTCCCATATTTAGCTCAGCCTGTGGCCACTGGCCCTACCTCTGGGGCCCTGCAATGCCTCCCTGGCTCCAACATTTAGAGGTTACAGCTCTTAGCCACCAGTCCCAGGTGCAGAGTCTCCCAGCTGACTCGTCCTACCTATCCTAACCATCTTGGCACAGCTGCACCACAGAGCCCCCACCTTCACTGGGAGAGGTCAGCCTGGGGGATACAGGCCAGGGACTGAGACAGCTGGCCAGAGATGCATACACGGGTGTGCCTGCCTGTGCAGCCGTGTCAGAGTGGCCATGTGCTTGCGTGGGCTAAGAGTGTGTGTGTGTGTTCATGAGGGGGGCCTGGGTTCCCAGGGCCCAGGGATCTGGATGGAATTAGGAGCTGGCCCGGGTGGGGACCAGGATGGGGGGTGGAGGGATGCTGCAGGAAACGTGAGCTGTGCTCATTAGCTCCTCACGTGCTTAGCCGGATTTATAAACACAAGGAGAAGACGGGATGTAAACAATCAGCGGGCAGCAGCCAGAGGCAGAGCTGGGGTGGGGGCTGGGCTGGGGGCCAGGACTGGGGGAGGGGGCCAAGGACACAGCCCCCACGTCTGTCGCGGTCCACCTGCACACCATGAGCCTGGAGAGGAGGGTGGATGAGGGCTCCAGGAAGCCCACGGTAGACTCCCTCCCCAGGAGGCAGGCGCTGTGCTGGGTTCCAGTGCTCACAACTAGACCACAGGTGTCGTCGGCCCCAGGCAGCTTTCCGACTGGATTCACTGCCTGAGACATGGACATGTCTTGCCCAGAGTGGACACTGTCACAGCAGAGGGCAGAGCCTTGTCCTTTTACCTCCCCTTTCTCCTCTCCTAGTCTCTCCTCCCTCTGGGTTCTAGAGACTCCTTCCCTCTTTCTCGTTCTCTCCATGGGCCGGTCAGTCCACGGGCCAGTCAGTCCGATCCTTCTGCTCTCCCCTGCCCACCCCCCACCCCGGCCCCCGCCTGCAGTGACACAGTTACCTCAGAACTGAAATATTCCTGGAAACACCGGCCTCGTCTGGTTAATTTCATGAGCCGTTTTTCTGCCCGGATGACTTAGCTCTTGTTTATTCAAAAGCTTCTCCCCCTGCTGTCCCTGAGTAGGGAGCTGGTCCCCCCCAGGGATGTCCCACAGGGCTCAGATGGGGAGAGGGAAACAGGCCCAGAGCTGGGATCCTGACCACACCTCCCTGCCATGGGATAGCCAGAGCCCTGTCCCAGAACTCTGGCTAGCAGGTCTGCGCAAGGCAGTGTGGGGTAAAGAGACAAGCCCAGCTCCCAATTCCTACTTCAGCTGGGACCCTTGGCACTGCCACCAACTTTGAGCGAGGCCAGACTCAATCCTGAATGCCATCTCAAGGTTAGAAGGGCCACTGCCCACCTCAGCAGGTCTCCAGTCTCCAAAACGAACACTATTTTGTACCCCTAGGATCCTGGAGGTGACTCAGCTAGATCCTTACACTTCGTGCAGAGGGGAAGGGCCTGGAGATGGGATGTGAAGAAGAAAGAATAAGAAGGAACTAAGAGTAAGGCAGGAGCTAGGGATGGAAAGGAGCATCCAGGAGGGAAGCCACAAGTTGCAGATAGGGGAAAAGAAAAGGGGAGCCTGTTTCCCCAGGGAGCAGTCAAGTGCCTGACCCTGTTCTCCGTCCTAAAACACACGTGTGCATGCATGCACACCTACACTCATGAACACCCCTCAAAGAGCCTTCACCCAAAAGAGCAGGGCCCCTGTAACTGGTGTCCCCCACTGCCGTGCTCCATCAGTAAAGCCAGCCAAACATCTGAGTCAAGACTGACCAGTTGTGCCACTGTAAAAGTCCCCACCTGACCCCTGTGCTCTATAAGAGACACTTCATCCAACTTGAATCCTGAATCCTTCCCAGTTTGTAACCCTCTCTAAACCCTGCCCCAGCGTTATGGCTAGCTCTAACCCTAACCTAGTCTTCATTCTTTCTTAAATCCAAACCCTATCGTAACTCTAAGTACAGCCAAATTATTAAACCTATCCAACTTATTTCCAACTATCAAAGCAACATGTGTCATTATAGAAAAATTTTGAAAGTATAAAATATAATCTAGAGGAAAGAAATCACTAATGACGGCCCACCTACCCAAGCTTAAAACCCAAACTAGCTCTGCTCTTCCTGATGTGCCAAACATCATACCATCTGACATCAAAGTCAACAAATTCACAAACCTTAGCCCCAGCTAACCCTCTGCCTGCCCAAACCTAACCACATCCCCCTGCTGGACTCAAACCTCAACCACACTAAATCAACCAAATCCCAAATCTAAACTAATCTGAAACTTTAAAAATAACCCAGTCCTTAAACCTAACCTCGCCCAATGCCAAGTATATCCCTACCCTATCTAAATCCTAATTGCCTCTGCCAGTCCCAAATGTCCACTGAATCCTGACCTTGGTCCTAATCTAAAAGCCTGGAAAAGCACGTTTCCCACAAACTTCTTGCGGCATCGACTCTGGGCATCCTGGTATGTCCAAACTCTCCAGCGCCATCGGCTGATCTGATAGCCCAACTCATCATATGCATAGCTCTCCCTGTCTATCCCTGTCAACTGGAGGCTGAGGAAAGTTCTCACTGCAATCAAACTTTTCCCCACCCAACACTCTAGATGAGAATGGGGCAAACCTCCACACTGCTACCAATCCCTGGGAGTGAAGGCTAAATCTCCTTCAATCTAACCCCACCCTATACTTCCCACACCCAGGAACCATATCCCAGAATATACCCAAAATTGGCTCTATGAGGCAGCCCTGTGTCCTTCAGCCTGATCCTGGTGGTCTAACCCTACACCTTGCCTCCTCTGGCCGACTCCGCTCTTGGCCGCAACCTCTCTCCTGCACCCTCCCGCGGGGCTGACCGCTTTCAGTGTGCCAGCTCTGATACATGCCTTTCCCACTGTTGGCTCTCCTGAAGCTGCACTGGGATTGGGAGACTCGGAGAGAAGACTGGAGTACAACTGGAACCCGGACAAACGGATTCACAGTCCCTCGGCCTGGGCCCATCCCTCGTGTATACACATACATGTTGGCACACATGCTGTGGTACACATGCCAAACACTTTCTCAGCTGACACACAGAGACATGGCAAATAGCTACTGATAGACACGCACACGCGCATGCCAAGTCCTTGTCCTCAAACACACATGCCTCTTCTCTCTCTCTCTCTGGCCAGGAGTGTTCTCCCTCCTCCATCCCTTCTGCCTCCCATCTGGTGTCCCATCCTCTGTCCAAGGTCGGGACAGACACCTGAGGGGCTGCCAGCAGCTTCCCCTCTTGGGCCTGGGCCCCCCCTCATGCTTCTTGCCCATCCTGTCCACAGGGGACTCGTGGGGGATGTTAGCGTGCCTGTGCACGGTGCTCTGGCACCTCCCTGCAGTGCCAGCTCTCAATCGCACAGGGGACCCAGGGCCTGGTCCCTCCATCCAGAAAACCTATGACCTCACCCGCTACCTGGAGCACCAACTCCGCAGCTTGGCTGGGACCTACGTGAGTATCCAGCTTAGGAGTCTGGGAGTTGGGTGCAGAGTGAGGAGTTGGGGGAAGACAGACATAATGGTGGAGGGTCCTAGTGAGGGGAGGAGTGGTAAGGAGGGGCCCTTTGGCTCCAAGCAGCCTCCCTGTCTGGCCTATCTCCTGCCCTTCCCTCTTAGGTGCCTCCTCCTCCCCAGCCCTGGCCCCAGGACTAGGCATGTGGGCAGGCCTCGCACCCGCCTTGGCCCATTGCCCCACTGGCTGCCAGCCCAGCCGCCCGCCTCCCCCTGGGGGCCGGGGAAGTCTCCTCTGTTTACACCGTGTTGTGGTGTCTCTTGCACGGGCGGGGTTGGGTGGGGATGGAGGAGCCCCACCTCCCATGCCTGTGTTCCAGCTCGTCTCTGCCCCTAGACCTGGGGCCCTGCTGCTCTGGACCCATGGGCCTCCCTTCTGCCTGCCTTTCCCATCCTAGCCGGGCCTCCTAGAGGGGTCCTGGGGGAAGAGGACTGCAGGGAACCCAGGCCAGTAGTGGCAGGGGGTTTGGGTGGGGATGGAGGTTATGCTGTAAGGATTTGGGGGCAGTCCAGAGGTGCTCAGAGAGCCCAGGAGAGAAGGAAGGAGGGTCAGAGGAGCCAAGGACCATGGGGAACCGGCCCCCTCTTCCCGTGTTCCTCTTCCACATCCCAGACCCTACTCTGGAGCCAGGGAAAGAAAAGGGAGGAGGGTGGCGGGGGAGCTGGCTCCAGCCCCAGGATACACCGAGGAAATTAGTTTGTCTCTGTGCTTGTCAGCGTGTGAACCTCCCCCTGGGCCCTTGCCTATCCCAGGCCTCGCCCCTCTCTTCTCCCTTTCTCTCTCAGTCACACATCTCCCTCATCCCTTTCCTTGGGCCCCAGCCGCCCCCCCAGGGGCTGGCAAGGGCTTTGCCCTCTTCCCTATGCTATTCTTCCTCCCATATCCCTCCTCCTGGCCTACTCTTGTGACTGCCTCAGTTTCTTCCTTCTGCAGCCCTACTCCTATCAGCTGAATCCTTCCTTGGGGGTGTTAGTGAGTAGCCTTCTGTCCCAATTCCTTCACCCGCTGGGACCCGGCATGTCAGAGAGGCAAACAGGGCTCTGATGCCAGCGGGCCCCTGCCTTTCAACACCGGCTTTCCTCCCTCTCATTTCCCCATGCAGAAAACCTTTGCTTGACTCTGCTACCCCCTCTAGTTCCCGACCCTTCTTCTCTCCTGGCTTTCCCTGCCAAATTTCTTGAAGGAGTGGTCTACACCCTCTGCCTCCACTTCCTCTCCACCCACTCACTCCTTAACCCCCTGCAATCTGGCTTCCAGGCCCCAGCAATGGTTCTCTCCAAGGTCGTCAGGCACCTTATTCTTGCCAAAGCCGACAGTATTTGTAGGCTCATTCTCCTTGCTCTCTGTTTTGCAGCCACACTGCTGAGTACTGCTGCCTTCTTGAACTCCTCTTCCTTGGCCTCTGCACTCTCCTGGGCCATCTTCTACCTCTTCAGCCTCACCTCCTGGTTCCTGGTGGCTCCTCTTCCTCTCTGCCCTGCCCCTGCGGTGGGCACTCTCCAAGGCTTGCCACCTCAGCCAATGAGCACGTCCTTGCTGAGTGTCTCCTGTGCGGCTTTCTCTTTCTACGCCTCTCCATAGGAGAGCTCAACTGTCACCTCCATGCTGGAGAAACTCAGGGGAGCCCATGAACAGAGAGGCCTAGCATGGCGACGGGGCCAGTCCTTGTCCTCAAAGGACAAGAAATAGAAGCTCTGGGTGCAGGTCTCTCAGTGGCGAGCAGGCTGCTCTGCCCGCCTCCTTCCCCATCACCCTCTCCTTTTCACAGCTGAACTACCTGGGGCCCCCTTTCAACGAGCCTGACTTCAACCCACCTCGGCTGGGGGCAGACACTCTGCCCAGGGCCACTGTCAACTTGGAAGTGTGGCGAAGCCTCAATGACAAACTGCGGCTGACCCAGAATTACGAGGCCTACAGCCACCTTCTGTGTTACTTGCGTGGCCTCAACCGGCAGGCTGCCACAGCCGAGCTGCGCCGCAGCCTGGCCCACTTCTGCACCAGCCTCCAGGGCCTGCTAGGCAGCATTGCAGGCGTCATGGCAACTCTGGGTTACCCGCTGCCCCAGCCTCTGCCCGGGACTGAGCCCACTTGGACCCCTGGCCCTGCCCACAGCGACTTCCTCCAGAAGATGGATGACTTCTGGCTGCTGAAGGAGCTTCAGACCTGGCTGTGGCGCTCAGCCAAGGACTTCAACCGGCTCAAGAAGAAGATGCAGCCTCCGGCAGCTGCGGTCACCCTGCACCTGGAGGCCCATGGCTTCTGATCTCTGACCTTTACCAACTCCTCTTCCCTAGCCCTTCAAACCCTGCTCCCACTCTAGGAGGGAGAACCCTGTATGTCAACACTTGTTGAGCCAGGAGACAGAAGCCACAAGCCTCTGGCCCTCCCCTGGACTTGGGGGTGTGATGTAATAAGCCCTGTCTCCCTCCCACCTCCCAAAGGCTTACAGATCTGGGGAAGAGGTGCAATAAGGCCGATCCTGTTTCCACAGGGAGTAATGCTCAAGGGAGTCCAAAGTGGTTCAAGGTGGTATAAAGGCTCTCACAGCCTCCTGCCTTCTGCCTACCACTTGGCCAGTGCCCACCCAGCCCCTTAAGCAGCACTTCCAGGAAGCACACCTGGGGGACAGGAGTAGACAGCCACCACAGCACGTGCCTTCTGGGGTGAAGCCCTTTGGCTGCCCCACTCTCCTTGGATGGGTCTTGCTCCTCCACCCCCAAATAACTCCACACATCCAATTCAGGAAACAAACATGGTGGCAAGTCTAAACAGAGAGAGATGGGATTAAAAATAAAAGGGGTGGGGCCTGCATTGGTAGTGGCCTACAGACCAGAAGAGATAATACTGAAAGCAGAGGGGCAGGGACAGACCAGACCCAGGAGTCAGCAAAGCAATCAGTGGCACAGAGTGGCAAACAAAAGCCATGGTGAACATTAGGACCTTGCCTTAAATTTTCTTGCCAGCATCATGGTGCCTCTTCTCTGCCCCTTTCCCAGGGTATCTGTGGGTTGCCCACGCTGGGGAGGGCAACCATAGCCACAGCCACAGGATTTCCTGAAAGTTTACATTGCAGTAGCATTTTGGGGTGTGGGGTGGCAGCTCCCCCAGGCCCTGCCCCCCCAGCCCCACTCACTCATGACTCTAAGTGTGTTGTATTAATATTTATTTATTTGGAGATGTTATTTATTAGATGATATTTATTGCAGAATTTCTATTCTTGTATTAACAAATAAAATGCTTTCCCCAGAACTTAGTCTCTTTGCCTAGCCTTGCCCCTCCTCCTGGTGCTCATTGCTGCTCTCTTGGCCCTGGCCCTGGCCCTGGCCCACCCTGGCTCCCACTCCACCCCCAGCCTCTGGTGGAGGTGCTCAGAGCTCAGGAAGAGGTGCTCCTCCCTCTGCCCACTGGGGCGATGTATGCACCCACCAGCCCTGTGATCCCTCAGTCCTGTTGAGAAGCTTCGGTCTATTTTGGGTTTTCCTTCTCCCTGCCTTTGCTCAGTCTTCCTCACCTTTCTAGATTGCTTTAATGGCCTCAGAGGTCTGTCTCCCTTCCTTGAATTTCTCCCCTCCAGCCCACCCTCCCCATGGTGAGCAAAGCTACCTATCTGCCTATCTGGTGCTTTCCCCAAAGTGGTCAGCCCAGGGGCATTCGGTCCCCAGCTTTCCCAGGACTATGGCCCCCATGCCCATGGCTGCCCACTGGGGCCTCAAGAGTAATGACTCTCACCTCAACACTCTCTTCCAGGGGAGGTGACAGACTGCAGCCAAGTCACAGTTCTCAGCTGTGACTCTACTCCTTTCTCTTCAATGTATGACAGCATATTTGGGGAAAAGAGAAAAACTCCTCTTAGACTGTGGGAGAACAGGATAGATGCTATTCAAGGGATGATCTAAGCTCAAATCCAGTTTCATGACCTCCTAGCTGAAAGACCTTAGACAAATTAAAGCTTTCTATTCCCCATTGGTAAATGGAGATAATTAAATACCCTTATAAGATTGTTGGACAGGATAAAAGAAACAATAAAGGTAAAATGCTTGCTTGGCTGTAGCAATCGTGGTAATTAAAGATTACTTGGGATATATCAGCATGTCATGACATTTTAGTTAAGAATCACTGGGTAAATTAATGGATTAATTGCTCCCAGATAATACATGCATATTTCACAAGGGCCTCCTAGAGACAATGCCTTGAGCAAAGGAAATAACGAATGATGGTAATGTCAATCAGCTGGCAAACCCAGTAAAGCCCTAATTACCTGCCTGTCACTGACTGGTGAAAGAAAGCTAAAAGAAGCCTAAAACCTAATGTGGCTCCTGTCCTTATGGAGCTTGCAATCAACTTGGGAAGAAAAGATTAGTTTACCCAAAATAAAAAGGCCAAAAGCGCACACGTGTGATGTAGACTAGGAGGTACCAGCAAGTGCGAGAGCCACTAGAGAAGGGAGAGGTCAGAGTGTAGGTGCAGGAGCTGTTGGACTTGCTTGTGGGTGGGGCGAACCAGGCTCTTCTGAATGTCCCTGAGTCATCTGGCCCAAGTTGAAGGGAACGTGCCCCACCCTGAGGGGTCCAGGCTCTTCGGGTGGAGACATTTGCCCAGGCATGGCCAGGGGCACCCGCAGGCCCTGCCCTCTGCCTAACAAGACAGAAAGGAGAGGGTATCCCGGCTGTCTCCATACACAGGCAAAATGAGTCGTGGCCTGTGATGTGCAAAGCACTCAGCAAAGGGCCCTAAAGAACACGGAGGTAAGTGAGGTGTAGGTCCTGTCTGCACAGAGCAGAAGCAACCCCATACAGTGAGCTTCTTGGGGGGAGATTCCGAGTCTTCCTCTTCTCTCTATCTCAGCACCCAACTCAGACTCCAGCCTAAAGAAGGTGCTCAATTAGTGTGTTGAACAAAACAATCCAGAAAAGGGAGTGGGAACCCCTCCCCACAAATGCTAGACTACAAGGCAGAATTCTATTAAGAGCAAATAAAAGAAAAAAGAGAGATCCAGGCAAAACACTATGGAAGTCTAGGAAGGAGAAACTGCATCTAGTTGAGTGAAGGCCCTCTAGGCTGTGCGTCCTTTGGGAAGGAAATGGTGTTTGAAGTCATCGCTGTATTTCCAATGTGTGGCACACAGCAAGTGCTCAATAGTTACCCTTTGCATAAACGCATGAGGTGGGATTTGACACCATTCTCGAAGGATGGGTAGAATTTGGACAGATGGAGATGGAGCAGGATGAGGGTTAGCTAAGTGTTTCTCTCCTCTTCAAGCAGATGGCATCCTGAGGGCAGGCTCCGTGATTTATTCATCTTTGCGTCCCTACAGCATTTTAGTATAATGCCTGGCAGAGTAAAGTCCTCAATAATTTGATTTAAGCGGATTTAAAAAGCGTCAAGACAACAGCATTTTAGAAGTTAAGAGAACAGAATTTGAGGGAGGGGGTTGATCAACAGTCTCAGATGCCCCAGAGGAACTGAGAGAAGAATGCAGAGAAAACCCACTGGTTTGGCAACCGGGAAGTCACAGGTGACCTCTGAAAGAGCAGGTGAGAAGCAGACACCAAATTGTGAGATTGAAGGATGTGGTAGGCAGAGAGTAAGAAGGGTAAATAAAGTCCCTCAGAGTTTACTAGTAAAGGAACTATTTAGAGAGGTTACCAAGATCAAGGAAGGTTTTTTTATTGTTGTTGTTTTTATTTTTATTTTTTTTTGAGACACGGTTTCACTCTGTTGCCCAGGGTAGAGTACAGTGGCATCATAATAGCTTCCTGCAGCCTCAGACTCCTGGGCTTAAGCGATCCTCCTGCCTCAGCCTCCTGAGTAGCTGGGATTACAGGCGTGCACCACCATGCCCGGCTAACTTTTTTATTTTTTGTAGAGATGAGGTCTTACTCTTGCTCAAGTGATCCTCCTGCCTCAGCCTCCCAGAGTGCTAGGATTATAGGCATGAGCCACCTCGCCCAGCCTGTTGTTTTTGAATAGAAGAGATCTAAACATGTTATTGCTGAGGGAGAAGGTGGTGGCTGGGGAAAAATGGAGAGGTTTGGAGAATGGAATAAGGAGACAACCAGAGGAGAATCAGAAGGGTTGCTGAGGGGGTGGGGGTGGGGATCTGCAAAAAAAAAAAAAAAAAAAAAAAAGGCGGGGCTGGGCAGCCATATGGAACTAGATGGTATCTGCAGACATACCTTTTTTGTGGACCCATTCAGCATGGATTGTGACATTCCTTAGCATGCCAGAGATGGCCAAAGGGGGGAACAGAGTGAAGAGAGGGCATTTTCTAAGGCTGAGGACTGGCAAGGCAGGGATGGCAGAGAAGCAAGCGGCAAGGGAGTCTAGGCTTCTAGAAACTATTGTCGAGTGGCTGTGAGCACTGAGCCACGCGGCGTAGGCAGGATGGTCAGAGGAGGGAAACAGGAGGGGAATGGACCTGGAGAAGCACCCAAATGGGGACCACTGGAGTTTACTCACTCTGAGGGTGCAGGAAGTTCCCGTGGGGGGTTGGAGGGGGTAGAAACAGATGACAGCATGGTCAGAGAGGGCATTTCAGAATTTGAGTTCTTGAACTCTCTCCCAAATAGCTCCTAATGATGGCGACAGGGGTGTGAGCCCCTCCTTCGGGTTTTGGCACTGTGTGCCACAGGGCCTCCTGTAAAACTGCCAGCACCATGGGACAGGGAGCTCTTGGTAAATGACAGATCATCAGTATTTTCTGTGAGTGAGTTTGTCATCGGCTCTCCATCCATTGCTGCTTCAGGCAATATCACGCGTGTTGCTGGTTATCTAGCTTCCACCTCTCAAGTATAGCTGCAGAGTCAGAGGCTCAGGCCCTGCAGTGTCAAGGGGGTGGGGGGCACATTATCTCTGGAAGTCCTTATGTCCTCACAAGGCTATGGAAAGCGGGTGAGAGGGAGGGAGAGAAGGCCCTCCTCCCTGTCAGTTCCAGAGAGCACGTGTAGATTAGAAATCTCATTGCCATCTTGGGTGCTTGTGTCTGCGAGAATGAGCACAAAGTGAAGAACTGTTGACTGGGGCAGGAGGCAACTTCCGAGAGGGTAGGAGTGGGTATAGAGGAGGCTCTGATGGGGGGGCAAAATAGTCAGACCTTGCCAGCTGCCCACTTTTGCAAAGACTGACCCAGGACATAGGGGCCTCCTCAGCATGTGAAGAGACTCCTTTGAGCACTCGTCCCACATACACACATCACAGCCAGAGCCGCCCCATGTGGGGAACGGCAAAGGGAGGCCCTCTGTTCCCCTTAACCTAGGGGACAAGGGCCAGTGATTCAGGCCTGGCTGAGTGCTCTGACGCTCTGGCTCTGACAGGGGGCTCCCTGAGCTCCCCCTTCTTCTTGGAGCTACAACTGTCCCTGCCTTTGTTCCTTCAATTCTTGGGCTCCCTGACTCAGCCTGGTTCCTCAATTTCCCAGCAGGGGACAAAGCCCTTGTCAGCGGGGTGAGGGTGGGGGCAGTGAGAAAGCTTTAGAGCCAAAGTTCCAGTCCTTTTTCCCCAGTCTCAGCCTTCAGGGTCTCTCAGCCCTGCTAGGTCGGAGGTCACCTCTAGGCTCCTCCCATATTGCTCTCATCTCCAAGGCTTGGCTAATGGGGTGGAAATGGTTAACTAGGACCGTCCTCCCAGCTGGACAAAGTCTGACACCTGGTGGCCAAGGTGAGGAATGGCCAGAAGGGCCCCTTTTCAAATCTCCCCAGAACTTGTCCAGAGCCAGGATAGCCAAGGTGAAAGGCGAGGTGTAGAACGGAAGTGTGGAGGGTGGTGGGGGCAGGGAAGAGGAGACAGCAGTGGCAGAAAAACCCAGAGACTTTTTTCTCCCTCCTTGTGCCCCCCAGGCTCCCACTCCTTAAGCCCACTAGGTAGGAGAACCTGGACAGGGAGAGGAAGGGTGCTGGGAGGGCAGTGAGGGACTAGGAGTGGCTGCCTGCAAGAATTCTGGCCCCAGGGTGGGAATGGGGCCCAGGGGGTGTGACTGTGTTGGGAGCCAGGGGCTGTTAGTCTGGATGCCCAGAATCTCTGTGGGGTGGGTGGCGGGGCCTGAGGAAGGGGGCTGCTGGGGAGAGGGACGGGGAGCTGGATACGCCCCACAGCCCACTGGGCCCCAGGCAGCTGCTCCCTTCCCGTCACCTGCCTCCACCTTCCCAGCTCTACCTGGCTCTCCCCACAAGCCCCATCGTGAGCTAGGGGAGGGGAAGGGGCTCTCAGGGTGCTTGAGCAGTGCTGAGGCCCCCTGTCCTGCCACATTGTCTGAGC